GGGTGGGGTGGCCATGGGGAGCTGGAGGTGGCCATGGGGAGCTGGAGGTGACACAGAGAAGGGTGGGGTGGCCATGGGGAGTTGGAGGTGGCCATGGGGAGCTGGAGGTGGCTATGGAGGTGACACAGGGAAGGTTGGGGTGGCCATAGGGAGCTGGAGGTGGCCATGGAGCTGCAGGCTGGATGGAAAAGCTGAATGGAAATGTCCTGTGCAAGTTCAGCCCATCCAGCAGAGGGATCATGATGCAAATGAGCACAAATCAGGATGTTCTGGGAGAGGAAAACCCTTGGAGAGCTGGGCTAGGGAATCATGGAATGGGTTGGGTTGGAATCCCATCCATTCCCATTCCCATCCCAAGCTCTAAAAAATCCCCAAACAAGCTCTGAAGCTGCTCAGATCCCTCCAGGGGCTGACATTTCCTTGGGGACAGCTTTGGGTGTGTCACCGTCCTGTCGGGAATGCTGAGGGGGGATTTTCCCCATCTCCCAGGAGAGCCAGGAATTCCCTGGCATTTCCTGGCAGCTCCTTCTCCCATCTCCCTGCTTTTCCCCCTTCAGTGATCATCGAGAAGGCGGCTGGGGATGCCGAGGCCGTCGCCTTCGATGGCCAGACGTTCCTGGAGTACCACAACGCCATCACCAAGAGGTACCAAAGCCCCAGACTGGAATATGGGCTGATTTGGGGAGGAAAAGCTGGGATCTAGGAGCTCCAAACCGGGGCTGGATGTTCCCAATCCTCCCTTCCGAAGCGGGGCCGGTTGTTCCCAGTTGTCCCCTGTTGGTTTTCCCCCAAATTCCCAGCTCCAGGCCTGGTTCTGCAGCCTGGGGAAACTCCTGGCTTAGCCCAGCCTGCTTTGGGAATGGGATGGAGCTGGATCCTGAGCGTGCCAGGCTGGAAGTGCCACAGGGATGGGACATCCCTGCCATGGGACTGTCCCACCCTCACGTGGGGAGGATCCTGTGGTGTCCGTGACTGTGCTGGTCCTTGGGAATTGTGTCTGGGAATGAGCAGAGCTCCCCCTGAGCTCCCCCAGCCTGGAAGTTCCTCCTTGGGAATTGTGTCTGGGAATGAGCAGAGCTCCCCCTGAGCTCCCCCAGGCTGGGAATTTCTCCTTGGGAATTGTGTCTGGGAATGAGCAGAGCTCCCCCTGAGCTCCCCCAGCCTGGGAATTTCTCCTTGGGAATTGTGTCTGGGAATGAGCAGAGCTCCCCCTGAGCTCCCCCAGGCTGGGAATTTCTCCTTCAGGAGCCTCCTGGCCCGCTGTGGTTTGCTCAGTGCCCTTCCTCCCTCCCCATGGGGGTGAATCCCCACCTCCAGGGCGCTGGGATAAGCTCCCGAGGCCATTCCCGGTTTCCCAGCCCCGCAGGGGTGGGGGGTGTCCGTGTGGAGCCGTTGTCTGTCCGTGTCCATGTGTCTGTCCCTTCTCAGTGTCGCTGTTTCTGTTTTCAAGCCACCTGAGCAATGAGATCCCAGCGTAAGTACGGCCCCGCCACCCTCCCCATCCTCACCGTCACCCCAAACACAGGGCAGTCCTGCCAGCAATGGGGGGAGGAATTTGGGGTCTCTCCCAGGTTTTTTGATGGAAAACCATTCCCATTGTGGGGTGAGAAGGGCTCAGGTGCTGGAGCTGCGTCCCAGGCAGCTGCTGTCCCCCCAGCACGCCTTCATTGCATCTTAAAATTAACTTAAATTAATTGAGTTTTCAATTTGAAGCTCGACTTTATTAAAGGTGAGCACAAGGAATGAAAATCCCTGTGGCTTCCTGCTCCAGCAGCAGCCAGAGGTGTTGGAGATGGAAAGTGGGGCTGCTGATCCCGGATTTTTCCAGTGTGGATGTGGCACTGGAGGAGGCTGGGCTGGGCACTGGGAGCCCCTGGAAACATCTCCAGTGTGGATGAGGGGTCAGGAAAAGGGGCAGGGCAGGAGATGGGGAGAAATCCAAACCCCTGGACAGCTGAGATTTGATGTCCTGCGTGGAAGGGAAGCCTGCTCCGAGCAGGAACATTCCCTGCTCCATGCAGGAACGTTCCCTGCTCCATGCTGAACATTCCCTGCTCCATGCAGGAACATTCCCTGCTCCATGCAGGAACATTCCCTGCCATGGGAAGGAGGAATTTTTAGGGATCTCTGCCTGTCCCATCTCATCCCACCTCATTCTGTGTCCCCAGGGCCGTGGGGCTGAGCTGTGCCTGTGCATGGGGGGCTGCAGAGCCATCGCCTGCATGTCCATGGCATTGCGAGGGGCTGGAAAGGCATTTTCAGGAATTTTAGGATTATCCTGAATGTCCTCTTAAGATGGGAAGTGTTGTGACCTCATAACTGTCCCTGTGCCCCCCTCCCCAAGCCTGCTGGCTTTGTGTCCCTGCAGAGGGAACGTCACCACTCCCAGCCTTTTCCTGGCCTTTTCCCAGCCTTTTCCTGACCTTTTCCCAGATTTTTCCAAGTCACTTTGGGCTGTGCTGCCCCATCCTCTAAGGAGTTTCTCCCACATCCCCCTGCTGGGTTTGGCCACCCATAAAAGTGGATTTTTCCTCCTCCAGGGAAGCTCCAGGGTGTGTCCTGGGCGGGATCAACATTCCCATGGTTTCTCCAGGCCCTGACTTGCCCGTCCTGGTTTTTACTGGGACATCCAGCTTTAGATTCCCGTTTATTTCCAGCTGAGGGAGCAGGAGCTGGAGCTCCTGCATTTCCCCTTTCCTGTGCACTCCCTGTCCTCCGAGTGCCCCAGGGCTGACTCAGAGCTTCCATGGACAATTCCAGGTCCAGGAGGGGAGCTCAGCCCGCAGCATCCCAAAGGCAGGACAGGAGGAAACTCCTCAAAGCTGCATTAAGGGAGGTTTAGGTTGGATATTTGGGAGTTTTTCCCCTCTGGAAGGGTGGTCAGGGATTGGAACCACCCCTGGAAGTGTTCAAAAGACGTGTGGATGTGGCACTTTTGGATGTGCTTTGGTGAACGCTTCCAGGGCTGGAGATTCCACCACAGTTCCAATGTTCCAAAGCCCTTTCCATGAAGGAATTTTCCCAACTCTCCAACCTAAACCTCCCCTGAGGCCGTTCCCTCTCCTCCTGGCCCTGTTCCCTGGGAGCAGAGCCTGACCTGGGGCTGTCCCCTCCTGGCAGGGATTCATGGAGAGCAGTAAGCTCCTTCCCGAGCTCCTTTCCTCCAGGCCAAGCCCCTTTCCCAGCTCCCTCAGCCATCCCAGACCCAGCATGGGTGGATATTCCCTCCTTGCCATGGGACAATTCCCGGCTCTCCCAATCACTCCAGGCGCTTCCTGCTGGGCTCTGAGTGGGGTGAAGAGCTGGAGCTGGGTGAGGATGGAAAGGTGAGGAGAGGAGAGGAGAGGAGAGGAGAGGAAAAAGGAAAAAAGGAAAAAAGGAAAAAAGGAAAAAAGGAAAAGGCAGGCTGGGTGGGTCTCCTCGCTGCCCCACGCTTATGGCACGCTCCCCTTTTTTCCCCATCTGAGTCCCGAGGCGCTGGATTTCCCCTGGGAGCCCAGGTGAGTGTGCCAGGCTGTGCCTGCCTCGTGGCCTGCCCGTGCCTCAGCATGTCCCCGTGTCCCTGTGTGTGTCCTGTGTGTCCCCTCCTGCCTTTTTATCCTGAGGGATGAGCTCCGCACAGGGGGCCAGGCTGGGTGACCCCAAAGGACACAGAGCCCTGTCCCACCCTCCGGATGCAGCGTCCCTCGGGAATAAAAAGCTCTCCGTGTTGTCCCTCTTGTCCAGTCTCTGTGTGTCCCGCTCCACCTGTTGCCAAGGGCCTCCTGCCTGTTCCAGAGGAAAAAATTTGGTTTCCAACCCAGGGAAAATCCCATCTTTCCTTCATTCCTCCCTTGGGAAAAAGTTCTGTTGCCTCCATCCCCTCCCTGTCACAGTCCCCAGGGTGCTGAGGCTGTTGTGTCTGGGATTGATCCTTGCACTCCATGAGGACAAAAGCAAGGAATCTCCAGCTGGGTCTTGGGGAACGTCCCAGGAGAGCTGTGCAGCCCCACTCAGGAGCACAGGAGGGTGGGGGAACTCCAGCCTTGGCATTCCCAAGAGTGGGAACTGCCTCAGAGACCTCTAGGGCCGTTCCTTGGAGCCTCTGGCCTGGCTTGGAGCTTCCCATCCACTACCAGGAATTCTGATCCCACAAAATCTGTCCCCCTCAAGGGCAGCAGTTTGGGACAGACCCTGCCTGTGTGTCCCAATCGCAGGAGTGGGATGGATGCCATCCCAGCTGGTTTGTGGGATCCTATCCCAAAATCTGCCCCTCGTGCGGGCAGCAGGTGGGACAGACCCCATGGGTGGATCCCAGGAGTGGGATGGCGATTATCCCAAAATCTGCCACCCCAAGGGCAGCAGCTGGGGACTGACCCATCCCAGGAGTGGGATGGAGGCCACCCCAGCTGGTTTGTGGGATCGTATCCCAAAATCTGCTCCTCATGAGGATATCAGGTGGAACAGATCCCATGGGTGAATCCCAGTCCCAGGAATAGGATGGAAGTTATCCCAAAATCTGCCACCCTTGAGGGCAGCAGTTTGGGACAGATTCCACAGGTGAATCCCAGGAATGGGATGGAGGTTATCCCACAGTCTGTGACCCTCGAGGCCAGCGGGTGGGGACAGGTGGGGAGTCCCTGGGAAGAGGAGGCTGCTCCGAGGAGCCAGCCGTGGCTTTCCTGGCGCAGCTCCCAGCGCTGCTCTCCCTCCCCAGCGAGAAGGCCCTGCAGTCCAACCACTTTGAGCTCAGCATCAAAACCGAGGCCACGCAGGGGCTGCTCCTGTGGAGCGGGAAGGGGCTGGAAAAGTCGGATTACATCGCCCTGGCCATCGTGGATGGCTTCGTGCAGCTGAGCTACGACCTGGGCTCCAAAGCTGTCACCCTGCGCTCCACAGTGCCCGTCAACACCAACCAGTGGATCCACATCAAAGCCTCCAGGTGAGGGGGACAGCAGGATCGGGATTGATCGGGATTGATCAGGATCGGGATTGGAATGGAAAAGCTGGGAATGAGGCAGCTGAGCCCGGTGATCCCCAAGGATCTGTCCCTGGATAAGGATAGAGGGGAGGTCATGTCCTGCTGGGAAATACCTGGCAATGTGCAAGGGGACAGAGCAGGAGGGGTGGAAGGGTCGTGCCTTGGATTTGGGTTTCACATTCCACTCCCGGTGGGAGCGAGCTGGGAGGTGGGAGTGGGGAGGGATCACAGCCCTGGAGTGCCAGGGATTCCTGCTGGGATCTGGCAGGGCTGGGACTCTGGCACCCAGGGGTGCCAGAGGGGACAGTCCCCATCACTGGGTGGCACCAGAGCAAGGATTGCATCCAGAGGGATGCTCCACTCTGCAGCTGGAAAAGCAGGTGGGACAGATCCCATGGGTGAATCCCAGGAATGGGATGGAGGTTATCCCAAAATCTGGAACTCCCGAGGGCAGCAGGTGGGACAGATCCCATGGGTGAATCCCAGGGGAGAGATGGAGGTTATCCCAAAATCTGCCAGCCTGGTGGTTCCCGATGGAGGTTATCCCAAAATCTGCCAGCCTGGTGGTTCCCAGTGCCAGGACGTGCAGGGACCAGCCCTGGGCTGTCTCTCGGAGGTTGTTGATGGATTCCTGGTTTTCCCCCCTCCCTCGGGAGCAGGGTGCAGAGGGAAGGGTCCCTGCAGGTTGGGAACGAAGCTCCCATCGCCGGCTCCTCTCCTCTTGGGGCCACCCAGCTGGACACGGACGGGGCGCTGTGGCTGGGTGAGTCCAGGGGAAGGGACATTCCCAGTGTCCCATGGGAGGATTCAGAGCTGGAATGGGGTGGGGATGTCCTTCCCTTCCCTCAACACCACACCTTGACCTCCCAGGTGGCCTAAAATTTCCTACAGATGCTTTCCTGTGGTGCCACCGAGGGAGCAGTGCCAGTCCTTGCCATGGCACCGCGTCCCCCGAGGCAGCAACAGGCAATTCCAGCCCGAACTGGTGTTGGAAGGGACCTTAACGCCCCTCCAGTGTCACTTCCAGACGTGTCCCACTGTCCCAGGCTGCTCCAGCCTGGCCTGGGACGCTCCCAGGGATGGGGCAGCCCCAGATCCTCTGGGAAATCCATTCCAGGGGCTCCCCACCCTCCCAGGGAGACCCCAGTGGTGGCAGTGTGACAGTGCTGGGGCCAGGCTGTCTGTCCCCTGTACCCTGTCCCTGCCCCGAGCTGACCATGGCTGTCCCCACTCTGTCCATCCCCTGGCCCCTGACCTGAGCTGTCTCCTGTCCCTGACCTGACCCCAGTTCCTGATCCCTGTCCATCCCATCCCTGTCCCTGTCCATCCATCCCCTGTCCCCTGTCTCTGCCCATCCCTGTCCATCCCTGTTCATCCATCCCTGTCCATCCCAGTCTATGCCATCTCTGTCCATCCCATCCCATCCATCCCATCCATCCCGTTCCCATCCTCAGGCACTGACCCCATTCCGTTGCAGGGGGTCTGGACAAGCGCAGCGCGCGCCCGCGGCTGCCCAAGGCGTTCAGCACGGCCTTTGTGGGCTGCATGCGCTCCGTGCTGCTGGACCGCCGGGAGCTGCACCTGCGCCAGGACGCGCTCAACGCGCCGCGGATATTGCACTGCTCGGCCCCCTAGAGCCGCCGCCGCCCGCCCGCCCGCCGCTGGAATTATTTTCTATTTTTGTAAACTTATTGCTTTTTATATTTTTGGGGGGGACGGGGAGGGCGGGAAACCCTTTTTTTGGTTTTTCCCGCGGGTTCTCCGGGCGGTGAGAGCCGGCCCGAGCGGCGGCACCGCCCAACGAAGCTCGACCCGCGGCTCCGAGGAGCGCCGGAACTCTCCCGCTGCAGCGCCCGTCTTCTTCATACTTGAAGCTTCTTTTTTTTTGGGGTCGTTTCCCCCCTTTTTTCCCGGCGTTTTGGGGGGGTTGCTCCCAAAGCCGACCCTGTTTTCCTGCGGGGGAAACGCTGCCGGTGCTGGCGAGGCCTTCACGGATTGGCAGGGTGGGAATTCCCACCCCGCTCCGGGCTCTGGCTCTTCCAAACCTTCTCCTGGCGCTGTGTCCTGCTGCCCCCTGTTCCTCTCCGTAATTTATGTGTGTAAGGATCTCAAGTGCTTTTCTCCTTGGAGCTCTGCTCAAATCAGGGACGATTCCATGCACTGGAAGGGAGAGAGCCGGGCCCACTCCTCTCTGCGCTTGGCTTGTGACTCTTCGCTGGACTGAGAGGTGCTGGGGAGGGAAAAATGTGGATTTTTCCAGCGGTTCTCCTCTTCCTCTTCCTCTTGGACACGTGCAGGAGCAGCTGTGAAACCTCATTCCCACATTTTGTGTTCATCCAGATGTGTCCCGACCCCCCGGCCGCTCTTCCTGAGGCCACCGAGCCTCGGCCTCCCTCATGCTGGGGATCGCTTGGAGCTCCTCTCCGAGAGCTGGGAATTCTCTCCCTCTTCCAAAAAGGACCAGCAGATTCCCTTTTCCCTTCTCAGAGATCTCTTGGATGTGTCCTTCCATGCCCCGCAGCGTTTCCCAGCCTCTGGTTCCCAGCCTGGGCCTGCAGAGCTGGCGCTGGAGCCTCTCCCACAAAGAGATTTTGGAATTTTTTTACCTTGGATTTGGAGTTTTTGGGTCTTCCACGCTCCTCTGGATGCTGCCAGCCCAGCAGGAACGGCTCCAACGGGAATGGAGCTGGGGAATATCTGGGGGGAATTTGAAGCATTTTCCTCCTGGAAAGGAAAATTTGGTTCCAAAGTTTCTGGGGTGTGACGGCGCCCCTGCCTGCAGCCTCTGGATCTCCTGGAATCTGGAGAAGAGCAGATGGATCCCAGCTCTGGAAGAAATCACATCCCCCACTGGGATTCCTTCTCCATGGGAAGGATTTCCTGGTGTTTTGTGGCCTCTGTCTCCCTGTCCCACCCTCAGCTGGAATTGCTCCACGGAAAAACAACTTTAGGGAATTCATCTGCAGGATCCCACCAGCTTTTGGGTGGAAATTCCCAGAATTTGCCATTTTTTCCCCTAAATTTCTATCCCGCCTTGCAGGGCACCCTTTAAAACGGGAATTTTGGCACCAACCTTTGAGACAGGAAAGGTCAAATTTCTTCTCTCAGGATGAGCTCTGAACAAAGGTGGAACCAAGAGGGAAAACCTATGGAAAAACCACTTGGATCTGCTTTTATTTCATTTATTTGATTAAAAAAAAAAAAAAAAATAAATCAAATAAAAATATTCCCAATCCTGTGGAAGATCCTGGGTTAAATATTCCATGGGGGGCTGTGCCAGGTGAGGGCTCTGCTGTGGCTGGGAGCGTTCCACGGGTGCCAAAATTCCCATTTTTAGTCCAAATTGGGATTTCTGGTGGGAAATGCTGGGCTGGGCTGGGCTGGGCTGGGCTGGGAGGGACGGACTGGGGAGTCCCCCAATCCATATTTTGGGAATGGCATTCCCAGCTGGAATGTTCCAGCTCCAGAGGGACGGGGAAGCTGCTGATTTTCAGGAATGAAGTCAAGAAATGGCCAAGAAAAACCCAACAACCGAACAAAAACAAAGCTAAAACCTCATTCTGCTTTCGCTGGGGCTTGGAAATGCCTTAAACCAGGATTTTGTGTCCTCTGGGGGAGCATTTGGAATTTCCAGCAGCGCCCTTCGAGCCGTGCACTTCACTGTTAACATTTCTACCACAAAACCTGCAAAAAACCCCCCAAAAAGACATCGAGGTGGGGTTTTTTTCCTGGATTTTAGGTTTTTTGGGGCTTTTTTTTTAATTGAAACCCCTTGAGCTGTCCGTGTGGCTCGGTGGAGAGGGAGAATTCCCGACTTTGGGAGCCGCTGGCTGAATTCCGAAGGGCGCCGCGCAGTAGAGGAGCAGCATGATGTAACCATTACTAACTCGTGTCTTTCGTCAAATCACCCAGAAATAAAAGTTTGGAAACAATTTGAGAGGTTTTTAAGGGGCCTGGTGCTTCTTTTCTTTCCCTCTGGAATAAAGGAAAATCCTGGTTTTTTTCGGTGATGTTTGCTGGGCAGAGGGGGCAGGAGCAGAGGGGTTCCCGTGGCTCCTCAATTCAGTTTTTCCATGAATTCCAACCCCAATCCCGGGATTTCGCAGGATTTTTGTGTCTTTCCTTCCCCTGTTCTGTGGCCAGGGAGTCTCCACTTTTCCCTCTTTGTGTCTTTTATCCCCTCAGCAGCATTTTCCAAGGAATTTCTGCATCCCACGGATCCCACAGGGCTGAGGTGACGCCCCTGGGGGTTGTTCCTCATGGACTGCAGCATTTTCCCTGCTGGGAATCCATGGAAAATCAGCCTCGAGCAGGATGTGGATTGATAAAAGGAGTGGGAAGGACAATTCCATTGTTTTCCTTTGGATCTGAAGGGAAAATTCAGAGGTCTTGGGCAAACCCAGGACAAATGCATGCTGCTTCCCAGAAAAACAAGAAATCCCAGGAAATTGCTTCCCAAAAAAGCCAGGAATCCAGAAATTTGGATAAGAAGGAATCAGGTGTGTGAAATCGAGAACATTTTGGGTCTGAAGGGCAAATTCAGGGGTCTTGGGCAAACCCAGGTCACATTGATGCTACTTCCCAGAAAAGCCAGAAATCCCAGGAAACTGCTTCCCAGAAAAGCCAGGAATGCCCCCAAGGAAATGCCCTGGATCCAGCATCTCCCACAAATCCTGACTGACAAAACCAAGCCAGTCAAAATCTGGGAGAAGCTCCCAGGACTGGGAATCTCAGTGGCAGGAGGAGGAGCAAGAACAGCACAGTGGTCAGCATTCCCAGGGGGTTTTTGTCCCGGGAACAATCCAGGGAAGCTGCACCCTCTCAGAGCCCTCATCCCTGAGGAATGAGCTGCTCCTGCCCCGGCAGCTCCCAGGGATTCCCTGGATGGACACGGAATCCACCGGGGATTATTTTGGCTCCAAAGCCGCTATTTTTGACCTGCCGGGGGTGGCAGCGGCCGTGTCCCGGTTTTTATTCCCTCTTGGACAGCGGCCTTTGCTTCCCCACCCAGCACCGGAAAGTGCCGGATCCAGGGCCTTCCTTGGGGTCACTCCTGGATTTTATGGGAAGCAATTTCCTGGGATTTCTGCCTTTCATGGGAAGCAGCATCCATTTGTCCTGGGTTTGTCCAAGACCCCTTCAAATCCAGAATGTTCTTGATTTCACACACCTGACTCCTTCTTATCCCAGTTTCCTGGAATTTCAGACTTTTATGGGGAGCAATTTCCTGGAATTTCTGGTTTTTCTGGGAAGCAGCATCCATTTTTCCTGGGTTTGTCCAAGACCCCTGAATTTGCCCTTCAGATCCAGAGAGTGCTTGGTTTGGGGGAGGTAAAACCCACCTGACCCCTCGTAGCCCAGGGGGTTGGGATGTTGGGATGAGAGTGGGGGACTTGCCCTGGGGAGCTGGTGCCACCGTGACTCCCCAGAGCAGAGATATTTTGGGATAAAACCCTTGCCAGCCTGGGATATTGGGATATTGGGGATCTCTCTGTTTGTTTTGATCCCTCGGACTCAAATCTCGGTGGAGTCAGCACCAAAATCCAGATTTCCAGAGGGGTTTGGGCAGTGAGGGCCCTGCTCCAGCTCCAGTCCCAAGCCTCAAATTCTGGGGTCAGTTTGGGGCTCCTCAGGACAGGGAAGTTCCGTGATCCCTGTCTGTGTGATCCCTGCTCCACCAAAATCCATGGAAAAACCCCTGTTCCCTGTCTGTGTGATCCCTGCTCCACCAAAATCCATGGAAAAACCCCTGTTCCCTGTCTGTGTGTGCCAGTTTTGGGGCTCTGTTCCAATTGCTGAACCCCCAGAGCAGTTTTGGGATCTGAAATCTCATCTGGGACAATTCCCGTCTCCTCCCCCCCCCCCAAAAAAATGGGAGAAATTGGGAATTTTCCGGATGAAGTGCCCTGGGAATGCAGCTGGAATCGCAAGGGAAAAGGGAGCAATCCTACCCAGGGACACCTGGAATTGTGGAAAACACAACTGAATCCATCCAGGCGTGCTCCTTGCACACAATAAAACACACGGAATTAAACACATAAAAACGTGGAATTTTTTGGGAATGGGAGCCGGGAGGTCTCTGGGAATCCCTGGCACATCCCTGTTCCAATAAAAGCAGCGTCGGCCACTGGCCGGGTCTCAAAGAGGCACTTTGGAGGATGAGGAGGGCAAAGCTGTCCCAAAAAACCGGGATTTTTGGCAGTGGGGAGAGGTTGGGGTGCGCTTTGGTGACTCCGGGCTGCGCTGGGTTTGTGCCTCTGCCTGGAAAATCCTGTTCCAGAGGGAGAGCAGGGATTTGGGAGCATCTTCCTGGGAAAATGAATGGAGCAGGTGCTGGGTTCTGTGGGAATGCTGATGGGATGAGCTCGCTTTGGCAGCTCCACCTCCAGCACCAGGGAACCTTCCCAGCCTCTGGAATGCGGCAGTTTCCCACCTGTTCATCCAGCCCTCCCCATCCCAGATCCTCGAGGGAATAATTCCGGAGCTGCTCCAGCTGGCAAGAAGAAAAAAAATCCCTTTATTCCCTCAGGAACTCGAGGAAGGAGCTGCCGCTGCCGTGGGGGATCCCACACTTCTGCTCCCCGAGCATTCCAGGCCCGGATTCCATGGAGAGCCTGGCACGGGAATGTGCAGGGATATTCCAGCGGTGCGGGGAGGGGGTGCGGGGTCTGCCGGCCATCCCAGGAACTCAGCGGGAGCTCCCAGGAAAGGGAATTGTCCTGTTCCTCATCCCCATGGAGCTGAGCAGATCCAGGAATTGTCCTGTTCCTCATCCCCATGGAGCTGAGCAGATCCAGGAATTGTCCTGTTCCTCATCCCCATGGAACCAAGGCAGATCCAGAGGCTCCTGGTGCTGGGAAGGGATTTTGTCCCAGAAGCTGCCAGAGCAGCAGGTCCTGTCCCTGTTCCCATCCCTGAGCAGATCCAGAAGCTCTGGCACTACAGGAACCAGGGTTTTGTCCCAGATCCTGTCAGGAGAGCGGGTCCTGCCCCTGTTCCCATCCCGGAGCAGGGACCAGCCCTACAGGAACGGGGGCCGTGTCCCAGCCGCTGTCAGGAGAGCGGGTCCTGTCCCTGTTCCCGTCCCGGAGCAGCTCCAGGGGTTCCTAGAGGAACGGGAGCTGTGTGGCCGCCGCCGGTGCCGGGGTGGTTTTGGGGCTGAGGAATTGGGGTCTGGCGGGGCGGCTGAAGCAGCGCAGGTTGCCGGTTTTGAGCGCGCACTGCACGGGCCACAGCACGATGCAGAACAGGATGAGCACCAGAGCCGAGAGCAGCACGATTCGCTTCCAATCGTCGCACAGCTCGCAGCGGGACAGCCTGCCCGCCAGCCCCGGCGGCGGCGGCTCCGCGCTGTC